CCATGTCTTTCATCTCCTTTTGCCTTTATTCCATTCATATTTAAACGCTTGGGCTTGTTAAAGACCCCTCTTATGAAGAGTTCAAAAAGTGGTCAGTACAAAGGATCATGGCCCATAATAGTTGTTAAGACTTTATTCTCCAGTGTCTTTTTTTTTTTTTAATTTAAGGAATATTGGGAAACGAGGGAGAAAAAAAAGTGATATTCAGAAACATATTGGATAGTGTAAGTTCCTTCATTAGAAGATCAGACGTTGAAGAGCAGGTACTTTAACCAGAGGATGCTGGCAAATAAAAAATCAACTTCATTTCACACCAAAGGAGAAAAAGCAGAAGAGGGAGAATATAACCTCCTATCCTAGTCTGGCTGGTGGTAGCACGATTCTGAAGCTACATTTGAAGATGTGGCGGGTCTTGACTGTATGCCTGCATTCTATTTCTTTTTAAGTCCTGAACATTGGATGTGTGGTCCTCTTGAGTATAATTAAGTCTGTTCTGGATCCCTCAAGGTCATGGCCGTGATCCTGCTTGGGGTTTGGAAGCAGGTGAAGAGGCAGAAGGAACCTGGGTGCCCGTGCTGACTGACGATGCAGGTGGCAGGGTGTCCAGGCTTTGTCCTCTCCTGTCAGGTCTGCCACTTCTGCCTGCTGGGTGTCTGCCTCTGCAGGCCCTGTCTCAGCTTTTAATTGCCACTTCTAAACGTGAACTTGAACTCAGATACCAACATGAGAATTCTGTACTTAAAAACAAGTCCTACCAGTAAATGCTACTCTGTGAGCAAATGGAAGTTTTAGTTCAGGGATATGAGGACGTCTCTTGGCTGCTCAAAGCCTTTTGCACCTAATTGCTCGTTTTCTCCTGTGTGTGAGAGAGGGGGGATGTTGCGTGCCACTTACCTGCAGCTAAGCAAGGCGACTGAAGCATTGGATGGAGGGTGTGAAGGAGGAATGAAGGGAAGATTTAGAAAAGTGCTAGAATTATTCTTGAATCTTGAAATTGTACAGAATATTTTTTTAATCTGGTCACTGTTATTATAAAAGTAATCCATGCTTATAAGGATTCAGCAAATAGGTAAGAAAAAGAGAAGCCATAACCCCACTTCCCTAAAGACAGCAATTAATAACACATAGATTCTTTATGCATACATTTTCTATGTGTTTTAAACACAAAAATGGAGTTATATTGAACCCTCAAACGGAGTTCCATAACCTGCAGTTTTCACCTAACCTTATGGAAAGCTGTCTGGAACTATAGTCATATAATGCCTCACTTATTACTTCATCCAGTGCTGGCTCCACTAATGCTGTTGAATACATATATTTTATCCTAAAACTTTGGTGAAAATCCATCGCAGTCCTGACAGTATAGTCAGCATCCACTTTTTCAGGTTATGGGTTCATACAGTGAGCACTGTGGAAGGTACTAGCCAGTGAAAGCCAGCTTGTCAGGTGTCCTAGACTAGCCCACAGTCCTGGCCTATAGGTCTGTTTCAGAGGGCCCCAGACAACTTTTAATGGCTAATATCTGCACCTCTGTGTCCATTAATTTTTTTGGCTACCGCAGGCCAGGAGTACCATGGAATCAGCACTTCCAAGAAGAAGCTTTCAACAGTCATAGAGGTTGGTGTATAAAAATATTGCTCACTCTCAGCTGGTTTTGCTCAATGGTTGGAGCATCGGCTATCACACTGAAGGTTCTCGGATTTGATTCCTGGTTTGGGATGGGTGCAGGAAGCAGCTGATGGATATGACTCTCTCTTGCATCGATGTTTCTCTCTCTCTCTCTCTCTCTCTCTCTCTCTCTCTCTCTCTTCCTCCCTCCCTCTTCCTTTTTCCTTCCTCCCCACTCTTTCTAAAAATCGATGGAAAACTATCCTTGTCCCAGCTGGTGTGGCTTGGTAGTTGAGCGTCAACTTATGTACCAGGAGGTCACAGTTCAATTCCCTGTCGGCACATGCCTGGGTTGTGGGTTTGATCCCATTGTATGGTGTGCAGGAAGCAGCTGATCAGTGATTCTCTCTCATCATTGATGATTCTATCTCTCCCTCTCCCTTCTTCTCTGAAGTCAATAAAAATATATTTTAAAAAATATCCTTGGGTAATAATTAACAACAACAAAATATTGCCCCCTTGCCCTAGCCAATTTGGTTCAGTGGATAGAGTGTCAAGCTTGCGGACTGAAGGGTCCCAGGTTTGAATCCAGTCAAGGGCACATGCCTGGGTTGTGGGTTTGATCCCATTGTATGGTGTGCAGGAAGCAGCTGATCAGTGATTCTCTCTCATCATTGATATTTCTCTATCCCTCTCCCTTCCTCTCTGAAATCAATAAAAACATATCTAAAAAAAATATATTGCTCCCTTGCTCCTTGGATGAGATCATTCTGAGGCTTGTGTTTCATACTGTTTTGGGGAGATTTCCCACAGAATTAAGCTTTAGCAACCTGCTGTGGTAGCTGACTTATTAATACACCTTGTATTTGGTTTTCCCCCCTTCCCTATGCCATTCTCAGCGCCTGGGTGTCCTGCAATCATCTACCAGATGAACTACTTGCACTTTAGTCCTTTGTGCAGGGTGCTTCTGGGGGTCTTGAAACTAAGGAACTTTCCATCCCATATGCTCTTGCCCACAACCCCATGGCGGGCCTTTATACCCTCCCTACAGAGGGTGGGCCCCTCCATCTGCGTGTGTACCCCACTGGGGTCTTTCTTCCTGCCTTGTGTTCCATGAACCATTTTCATCCATGACATCTGATGAACATTCTCCAAGGGAAAAGGCCTGAGAGGTCACAAACGTGGAGGTTTACAAGTCAGTATTGACAGGCACCAGAGTACTGGAGACAAGCAAGCACTTTGAGGGAGGGAGTGAATAAACAGAGGCTGGACAGCAGCAGTCCACCAAGGACTGATGGGTGCCCTGGAGGAAATGACCTGGAATTGTGGGAATGGTAGTTGGAAGAAACCATAGCCAAAGGCATGTCATGACTAAGAGATCTGCAGAGACCAGAACAGTGGCTGCCGTTGTCCCCATGCCGTGAACACATCATGATGACCACGCTGTGAAAACCTCATGGGGTGCCATGTCCCGAATGTCATCTCAAGCCTGGATACCCATGACATAATGTTATGGCTCAAAATTTTTAACACCTCCCAACATTTTTTAAACAAAATGTTTATTAAGTCAAACACGTCAGCTTTGTTCTGCCATAAGCCCTACAATTGCTCAAAATTTGAGAAGCCCTTTGTGCCGGAAGGGCAGTGTCTTTGTCCAACATAAGGTTGCGGTGCTGAGCTGTGGGGACTATGGGTGGGAGGACCTCCTCCCTCCCAGGGACACTGGCCCAAGGAAAGGTTGAACCCAGAAGACATGAGCTTTTGTGTATGTGATTAATTTGTTTTACTTTAGCTCTATTCTAAACCTTCCCCAAAAGCTCATTAGGACGCAGGGGACAGGGGTGTGGGTGGGTGAATGTAGGGGTGGGGATGAGTGAGTGGGAGGTTGGCAACATAAAATAACCCTTTTATATGAATGTTTGCTCTGGGATGTTAAGAATTATTAAGGAATACACTGCTTTTCCTCAACACTCAATTTGGGTTCAAGTTCACAAGGTATTAGCCCAGATGTCTGTCATCAGAGACCCACAGGCTGACCAACTTGACCAGGCAGATTTTCTTTTCCCATGTGCTGCGTCTCTGAAGTGTATGGCCACGGGAAGGATTAAATCTAAAACTGGCCGGGGCCTCTGTGCACTCAGCTTCCAGAAGCCCATCAGCCAAGCCCAAGGTGGTTCTTTGTGACCAGTTGTGGAAAGCGGGAAGGGAAGCAAGCATGGTGGTTTCTCCTTTACGTGGTAGAGCTCCAGAGCCCTGAAACCACAGTGGCGAAGCCAGAAAAACCGGACTGCCCTGAGGATCCCACTGAAGCTGGAAAGGAACAAATCTAAACATTTCCTTTAACCTCTGCTGTTGCTATGATAAGGGAAGCTCGCTCTAGCATTTTGTTCCTTTGTTGAGCCGTCACCCCACAAAGTCTGCAGGTACAGGTGGGCACCAAGTCAGAGTCTCCATCAACCTGGCTAACACCATTCACCCCATTCTGGTGACTCCCTGAGATATCACCTTATCCAACACGGGGGCCTAACTAAGCCACATCCAGCAGCTTTT